ATATATATAAGTTGAAAAGTACAAAGTTGATAACCGTTTACGACACATGTTTTATGACAAACTTTTTATACATAAAATCATAGCACTTTGTAGTGGTAAGATATATTATTATTATTAGTCGTAATATATTTATAACAACTATAATATATCTATATAACATATTTTGACAAGTTTATATGCATATGAGGTGTTATTTAGCAAAATTACATATATAGACTAATTGTAAATTTGTAAGTGTTTTCTGAAAGCAAATAAGGTATAACACATGTATTCTCGCACGAAATATATAAAAGCGTTAAAATGGGGTCGTAAACACTCACCTTAATGTGTGATTGTCAGTTTATTTTGAGATACTTGACGCGGGAAACCACAACTTGACACTTCTAAAACGAACCACCGAGGCTATTTTTGTTACCTATTCAACCAAAGGAAAGTTTTGGTATTATTTAACAAATGTGGGAATTTTTTGTAATTTAAATAAACCATAAGGGTTGATTTACTAAAATAAATAAATTGAATCCAAAAGAGGGTATATTTTAAAATATTTGGAATGGAAGTTTGAGTCTAGGACTTGTTTTGTCAATACTTTCTTGAGGAGGGATGGTTTTAACTAAAAAATATAGAAGTTTTGAGAATTGGAACAATTTTGATAAAAAGAAATTCAATGGGAGGGTGGTTTTAATTATTTGAAATGGAAGTTTGGGGGTTTTGATCACGAACGAAGATACAAAAGAAAATAATGGTGGTGGTGGACACTTATGATAGCAACAACAAACAGGAGGTGGTAGTTAGAATAACAAACGCCAACAGGTGGTAGTGGGTGGCTTGCCGTGGAAGCCCCTGATGCCTTGCTTCATTTTCTCCTTGTCGGCAACACACAACGAGAGGGAGGGGTGAGTTGGAGGTGGAGGCAAGTTGGAGGGGTGTTTAGGAGGGTTGCTGGTCGGAAAATAGTAAAAGAAATGGTGGCTGGTGACGATTTTATGGTGGTGGAAAGGTGGTGTTTTCTAAACCAAGAAAGAAAGAATGCGGACACGTGATGTTGCTGATGAGTTGTGAGGATTTGAGGGAGGTTAAGGTCCCTTTTATAGCTATGCATCACCCTCACAAATCCATGATGTCATAGCCCCTTAGATACTTACATATACAAGACATAACATGCTTATACCTCTTTGATCAAGATTGTAACTAAGAGAGGGATGGTAGAGGAAGAGGGTAATGTGGGTAAGTGGGAAGGAAGTCCAAAATCAGATTTTTTTATGTCTAGAAAACATAGGTGGGCCCCAATGATGTCACAATTTCAATAAATGCCCAAAACAATCCTAGTTTGGTGTATCGAGATCCCGACATCAAATAATTTTTTCGAAAGTGCTGTATGATAGAGTCGAGTTCAAGGATTCCAAAAACCAAAACAGATTAATTTTTTGAATTGTAGAACTCTGAGAAATCGTGTTTAAAGTTTCATGTCTAAGTGACCCGAAATGCTCGAATTTTTGACTTTTGCAAATATTTTCACTAAAAATATTTCGAGTATGAAAATAAATATTAGACCATAACCTGAGTCCGAAAACGATCTCAGAATTTCCATCTGAGGTGTGCAAGTGCCTCGACGGATCGATTCGATTTTAACAATTTTAAGAATGTTTTATTGGTTTGTTTTCTTATAACTGTTGTAACTTTTGCATACAAACTCTGTTGTGGACGTTCTTTATATTTTTGGAAACATGCAAACATGTACTATGAGACTATAATGTTTTCTTCGCTGAAAAAAAAATGCTTAATAAGAATTTTTAGTTTTTCAGACGCATTAAGGTTGCAGTTAAAGCTGTTTGATTCGTTCGACAGTTTACACATTTGGAAGTAAAATACCATTTGGTATCTTATAATTGTTGGAATGAAATCATTTATTTTACAAAAGATGCACTAAAACTCAATGAGTAAAATTACAAAGAGATTTACTATGAATTGACTATCTACAGTTTTAGATATAAATTTCGGGATGTCACAACTTTTCTTGCCTACCTCTTGACAACCTTTTGCATCCTCTTTTGAAGCATCATCACTACATAAGGGGTAAGTTTATAACTATATAGCCCAATGCAAGAAAGCATTAGGATTTTTTTTTTTCATTTAACAGGTACAAAATATCTACTTGTTTATATATTATTTTACCCCCAAAGACACTGTGTTGAATATAAATCCGTTGAATCATCTCACATATAATCTCAACGAGCACCATTATAGTTAAATTTTGTTCATCTATCGATAATATGTTGATGAAATCTAGAATATCAAGGCTTATTATTGAAACAGATGTTCAGTCATGGTCGCCTGAGATCCAATGTTATATTATAGTCTATCAAAAATTTGTTCAAAATCAGACATTCTATATGATTTGCATAACTGCCAGAACAAATGTTTATTAATCTACTTCGACTAATCGTAGACTGCAAAGTAACAACCATAATATTACAAAATAACCATAAGATGATTATAGGAATATTTAACCAACGGAAAAGTCTATCGAGCGTTAATATTGGTTGTGAGTATTACTTCCCTAACACCTCTCTGATGCATTCCTTCAACTTCATCATAAACCATGTACAAGATTCGACAGTAATATCACGTTTAGAAAAAACTCTATAGGCGTGATTTGGTGGTATCCGTCCATTGCAAATGTTGTGAACATTAAGCGGGGTAGTCTCCCTTTCATATGGACACTACCTATAAAGATATTTGATAGTATGCAAGTGAGAAATCTATGAACCCACATTTTTAGCAACATTAATTCTAACAAAATTAATAATTGAAAATTAAAAATTAATATTTGGCAAAATGTTTTTTTACCACACATACAAGAGCCACAAAAACACAACTATAAATGGTTTATAATATTTCTCATGATGTTGGTGAAACTTGCGATGATGGTTATTTTAAGGTTGTGCAAGTAAACAATGAGCTTTGGTAAAGCTTTCTTTGTGATCACGATATGGAACTCATTTTAAAATATTGTAAAACATAATTACGAAATCTTGTTTATATGTTGAAGAAAAGATAAGATAAAACATGGGATATATATTGCAAAGATTCGGAATATGTGTCCAAAATGTATATCTAGAATCTACAAAAACAACATTGAATGTATGTTTGGGATGTTAGGATGTAAGATGTTAGTCTGGAGTTAACTACGTCAATCCGGATGTACGTTGTTATTAGATTTTAGAACAACTCTACATCAAGGCTCATCGAGCTAACACTTCTAGAACGAACGTAACTTCTTCGAAATGAGGTGTTTTGGAGAAAGTTGTTAGTTTTCAGAAAACGAAAAAAAAAGATTACTTTTTAATAAGGTCATTTGTATGGGTTAATTTAATTAATATCCATGCCTTCACCAAACAAAATTTACTTTATATAAATAATTTGCAATTTTCATGATATTAGTTCAAAATTCTTTTTTTCATCAATTTTATCATGAAAACTTTAAAATGTAAAATCATTTTCTCAATGCTTCATTTTAAAATATCCTTATCATATTAACTCAAAATAACTAGTTTTTATGTTTTAAAAATAAGTTGCAAGCTACTAATATTGTTATTTTAACTTGTAGCTAACAAACCATATAAAATCTTATATATCTACCCTGATAAATGAATGTTTTTTTGCCACATGTCAATCTATAATGAGTTTTGATACTTGTTATTTTATGATATTTTTTAAATAAATAATATCCATATGTCAAGTTATGTTTTTTTTTTTTTTTTTTTTTTTTTTTTTTTTTTTTTTCAATTTTTAAAATAAGAAGCCACATAATCTTATACTTATATATGTAAAGTATCAAATGTAATAAATATTATAAGAAATTACGATTAATATATTTCTTCATTCCTTATTTCAAAATTTTATGTTAAAAAATACTTATTATTTACATTTTAATATTTTATTTGTTTTAATCAACCCGTGTAATACATGTGTTTCACACCTAGTCCTCTTTAATAAATGAATGTTTTTTTTTGCCGTTTGTCATATTCTTATTCAATTTGTGATTATTTTAAATTAATTTTTAAATATCATTTTGTGATTATTTTAAATTATTTTTTTTTTCCACATGTCATTTTATGAGTTTTTTCTATTTTATAAAATTCCACATAATATTTTATTGTAACAATTGCAATAAATGTAGTAATAAATGAATATCAATTTCATTAAGAAACTTATCTTCTAATTTCAAAATTTCTAAAATTAAAGTTTATTAGTTTCTTTTCTTTATTTAAATTATCTTTTTAATTTAAAAGATAAAAAAACATTTTCATTATAATAATTTATTATTTTTCTAATTTTTTTATTAATTCAAAATTTTCAAATATTATAACTTGTATATTTAACTTTATTTATTTATTTTTATTATTTTTTTTTTAAATTAACCCATTTAATACATCGTTCTCACCTTATTATTATAGTAATATAGGATTAAACACAACCACACTTTTGTTTACTATGGCCCATTTATATGGATATTTTAATTTCTTTTGTTAAAAGCCACACGACGTTTGACTTTAACAATCAACCCTTTTGTGACTTTAACAATCAACCCTTTTGTGACTTTAAACATCCAATTTTAATGAATTTAAATTTGAAACACCAAAAAAAAATGATCTTGTTTTTAGATATTTATTTCTTATGAAAGAAAAATATATTGTTAGAGAAAAAAAAAACTTCACTTATTCTTATGAACATCTTCACGAGTAATATCGACATTTTCAATATGAGTTGGTATATAAATAAGTCAATAACATAAATAAATTGCATGCCGGCCAACAAACACTTGCTTAAACCACATTATATATAATGGAAATTTGGTAGTCATCAATGCCTCCAATCTCCGTATCTCTTTCCAGGAAAATCAACATCATCTAGGTTGACTATAAACCTCCAACTTCATCTATAATGGAACAACTATTACAAATTGTCCTTCAACTTCCTATTTTTTATAATCAATAATTATGTTGACAGGTGGAGGTGGTAGTGGTGGTGGTGATGGTAAGGAATCTCAACCCTCCACCTCATCCTACATAGAGTACTCACAACCATGTCGTCAATTCGAATTTCCTGAGATTCTTTTAGCAACCAATAATTTTGATGAATCATTACTAATTGGTCATGGAGGCTTTGGAAAAGTTTACAAAGGAAACATTATAAACGGATCAACCGTTGTCGTTTCTGCCATTAAACGGTTGGATTCCATGTCCACTCAAGGGGCTACAGAGTTTTGGGCGGAAGTTGAGATTCTTTCCAAGTTGCGACACTGTCACCTTGTATCTTTATTCGGTTATTGTAATTATGAAAAAGAGATGATCCTCATCTATGAATATATGCCTAATGGAACACTCGAAGACCACCTCCATAAACTCGATACTCCTCTTTCTTGGCTTCAGAGACTCAAGATTTGCATAGGTGCTAGCCGAGGGTTAGACTATCTCCACACTGGCACAGGAATCGAGGTTGGGGTTATACATCGTGATGTCAAGAGCTCCAATATTCTGTTACATGAAAGTTGGGCAGCTAAAATTTCCGACTTTGGGTTATCCAAAATAGGTCCAACGAATCAGCCATTGACATATGTCAAGACACTTGTAAGAGGGACTTTTGGGTATCTAGACCCTCATTATTATTCAACTGGAAGGCTAACAAGGAAATCGGATGTGTATGCTTTTGGAGTGGTTTTGTTTGAAGTGTTGTGTCGTAAGCGTGCTGTGGATACGCGTGTTGATGAAAGTTTGGCAACATGGGCTCAAGGTTGTATCAAAGAAGGGAATTTAAAGCAAATAGTTGATATTAATATAAAGGATCAAATATCCCCAAAATGTTTGAAGGAGTTTGTTCGAATTGCAGAGAGATGTTTGCACAACAATCCGAAGCATCGCCCTACCATGGATGAGGTTGTGGTTGGTCTTAATTTTGTGTTGACATTACAACACAAAACCAATACTACCAGTAGAACAAAATTTGGAAGAATGCTTCATATGTTTCCCTTCACCCTAAAGAGAGAAAATTCTGGTATTTCAGTTTGCTCTTATTGAATTGTGTCATTGTGTGTAACTGTTTTGTGTTTTCTTCTTTTATTTTTGTAATCTGTTTGTATCAATCTATTTCAGCCAAAGTTGATTCAAATCTATTAAAAAATACCAAGGGAAACAGTGCAAATGATATTGATACTGCAGGGGATGACAACAAGGATTTAACGATTCCTATTCCAAGTTTAGGTGTATCAATGTTTTTTGATTCGAAAAGGCAAGCAGAGTTACCTAGGTAAGCCTTGTTCTTAAATTGGCTACTCAGGATCTTGATCCTCTTGATACTAAAGTAATAACTTTATTTTGTTGTGAACAGGTTAAAAGAGCTTCATACACTGAAAGGGTATGTTGAATCAGTGATTAAGTCCAAAGGCCTTGATATTGAAACAATGCAACAATACTACACCATTTAAGTAGCCGATAAGGCGATAACACAATTTTGGAACAACATAATCAGGAATTAGGAAAGCACAATTTTACACAATGTTTTTTTTTTTTGATAGCCATGTGTGAGGTGTGTGAATAAGCAAGCAGATGAGAGTGGGATATACGCCATCTGTAGTTGACAAGAACAATGTACTATTTGATACTTGTATATCATGCTTTTTTCCCGATTATAGCAATGTGTTTGAATATTGGATACTTCGATTTCAACTATGTTTAATAGATATCCATACTACTAGTTCTGTTAAGATCAGATCTAAAATGTTGGGTAGGTCGAGCTTAACATATCATATGTTTGTCGGTTGTTTGTGTATTCGAATTCAATTAAAACATGTATTAACTCCTAACCTGAAATCATATGTACATATCCAATTTGCATGATTCAAGTAATAATCGCTTAGACTAACAAAAGTTTGAAAAAAAAAAAACGAACAAAATAAGAAAAGCAACAAAAATGTGTCCCCCAGGTGTATTCTCGGTTTTGGCTAGAAATAAGAGGAAGTAAAAGTGTTTTACGCTCTTTCTTAGTACCACGTGTTATATATATTTTTTATACCAAAATCTTTGAAGTCCAAAAAAAATATATACATCAACATTATAAACCATTCATTATGATATTATTTTAAAATTAACGTTGAAAATTATTATTTTTATAAAATATTTATTTCCAATTAATTGCAAAAGTTATAAATATTTATCAAGAATTAAATTCTTATAATATTCAATTTATGTCCTATAGATCATATGTTATTAGTAATATCATTATAAAATGATTTGTGAGCATATAGATCATTTCATGTTTGGCAATCTCTAAATGATCGAATGATTGAGAGGTTCCGAATGAATCTGCCTCTAAATGAAAACATGTTTTTCAGTCATTGAATTGACAAACCAACGCTTTCAAGGGATACATATACCAGAGCCTTGTTGAACCATTCAGATGCGGAAAATTGACAAACCAACGCTGATTCAGACCCAACCACTTAATAGAACTGTTAAGAGGCTTACCAAACAACCCTCACTCAAAATACTTCATTCAAAACTTGATAACTATATGTAAGTCAAACTTTAAAAAAATAAAGTTAATTTATTATTCATATCTCAACAAGAATGGCTTTGATTATTGAGGGATGTTTTTGTAAGAGTATATATTGTAACAAGATTTGTTTTATATATTTTTAGTATGGTTGTTAGGCTTGGTAATCAAGAATTTATGTCCTGTAATTAAGGAATAATCTTTGCCTTATAATTGAGTGTATTTCCTATTTTATCCTTGTAATTACTCTGTATCTATTCTGCAGTATATTGATTGAGACACTCAAGTTGGGATTTTTTTTCTTCACTGTTATATTTCTTCTCCACATGCTTGCTGTACTGTCTTCTCTCCCCTGTATAGTCTTTCATGGTATTAGAGCTGGTCATGGATTCTGAATCAACCATAACTAACGATTTTGGTTCATCAGGAATGACTATTTCTCAATCTCTTCCCGTTTTCTACAACCCTGATGCCATCATGGCTCACAGTCATCTTACCAAAGAGAACTAAGTAAAGTGGAGTACCCTCTTCAAAACCCTTCTACGAGCCCACCAACTATTATTTGTTATTGAACCAAACCCACCCCCAAAAACCCTAGCTGATGGTAAAGAAAACCCAGATCACCACAAATGGAAGAATGCAACTGACTTGATCTGTTGTTGGGTAAAAGGCACCCTTATCCTTGCCATCCAACCTTACCTAAATCCCTGTCACACTTTGCCAGCGGCGTGGAGTGTTCTAGTGAAGCGTTTTGGCTCCACATCGATTCTCCATGCCAACTTTGCTATCAGTATGGTCATGATGCGAGAGTTTGTGAACAATGCAACAATGCTGCATACTTATCACATTTTGAACCATATGATTTGGACTCGGGTGCTACAAACCACATGATATCGGATCCCTCTAGTCTATCCGAGTATTCTCATTATAATTCAGTGACTTTTGGTAATGGCACAAGCTTACCTATCTCTTGTATTTATAAATCTACTTTCCTTCATAAAAATTGTTTCTTTAAGTTGAATAATTTATTGTTTATTCCAAATTTGCACAAACCTCTATTATCCATTCGCCAATTCTCTAAAGATAACAATTGCTTCTTTGAACTTGATTGTTTTTCGTGTTAAGGACATTCAGACGCCGGAGATCCTTCTTTTTGTCAGAGTTTTGGAGGTCTACATCAGTTATCATTCAATCCAAATACACCTCACAGTCTGGTTTCTCTCTAAGGTGAACGGTCAACTCCCAACACCTGGCATGATCGCTTAGGACATCCCCCTTCTAATATTCTTAAAGTTCTTTGTAGCAAGTTTAAATTACCAATAATGGCAAACTTTCAGAAACACAGTGTTGTCATGTATGCCCCATGGGAAAATCAACTAAACTAACTTTTGTTCCTAGGAATTTTAATGCTTCTCATCCTCTTGACTTGCTTCACCTTGATGTCTGGGGCCCTTCCGTAGTTCTTTCTATGAATGGTCGTCATTTTTACTTATCAATAATTGATGATTTCTCTTTTTATGTGTGGCATTTTCCATTGTTTCATAAATCTGATGTTACTGATGTTTTTGCCACTTTTAAAACACAAATTGAAAAGCAGTTATCTAGAAAAATCACAACAGTTCATTTTGTTAAGACTATACAAACTGATGGTGGTGGTGAATTCACTAGTAGGCAATTTAAAGCGTCTTTATCAAAATGGGTAATTAAACATCAGCTCACTTATCCCTATACACCTCAATAAAACGGTGTCTTAGACTAAAACATTAACACATAGTCCATATAAGTATGTGCCTTATGACAAAATCACACCTTCCATTTAAGTTTTGGCTTGAAGCATTTAACACTGCTGTGTACCTCATCAACAGACTCCCAATGCGTTAATTAGATTATTTCTCTCCCTACCAAAAACTTCTCTTGCATGACCCTGATTATCGCTTTCTTAAAGTTTTTGGATGTTCGTGTTTCCTTACATTCAGCCATATAATTCTCACAAGCTTATGCCAAAATCAACTCACTGTATTTTTCTTGGATATGATAATACCTGCAAAAGCTATAGATGTTTGGACTTAAAAAATGGTTGTGTTTATATTTCATGACATGTTGTTTTTGATGAATTGGATTTCCTTTGAGAAATAAAAGTGCAGGGTCTTCACTTGGTCTAACACAGAAACAACTAAGGACCAACCATATGGCTGAAAATATGCAACACCTATTTTCAAACTCATACTCACCTGCCACTTCACAACCAAACATTGTAGTAACTCAAAACTCTATAGAAATCGACAATCCAAATATTAACAACATCCACACAAAGCCCAATTTCAACACCTGATCCCCCAACACAACCACGCCTACAACAGTACCAAGTGACCGTCAGCATACATGCATTGTGCAAACATCACAAGTAAAATTCACTCCAGATGCATCTTCTTCGCCAGTCACCCTTGCATCATCTTTACCCAAAGTTCAAAGATTCACTCTTGAGGTTTTCACTCCCTCAACTACCATACCTGCATCTTCAAATATTACACATCCAACCCTTGAAAGTCAAGATAGTTTAAACCAACCCTCAAAATCAGGTCTCTTGCTGATATCTACCAAAAAACATCACCCCATCCATTGCCACACGATCTGATAGCCACCAAATCAGATGACGTGTTTTCTGAACCTCGAACTTTTAAACAAGCATCAAATTTCCTCATTGGCAACATGCAATGCAAGAGGAAATTACTACCCTACACAAAAACAAGACTTGGCACCTTGTTCCTTCTCATCAAGGTATAAATGTTGTAGGATGCAGATAGATTTTTAAGGTCAAAAGAAAAGCTGATGGATCCCTTGAACGCCACAAGGCTCGATTGGTGACACAAGGGTTCACCCAATAGAAAGGACTTGATTATGCATAAACATTTATCCCGATGGTTAAACCATCAACAATTCGTACCGTTCTCTCCTTAGCCCATGCTCAATGTTGGGATATCAAATAATTGGATGTAAAAAATGCCTTTCTCAATGGCATTCTCCATGAAGATGTTTATATGAAGCAACCACCGGGCTTCATCTCTAAATCCTTCCTAGATCATGTGTACAAACTAGAATGTGCCCTTTATGGTCTCAAACAAAGTCCACGTGCATGGTTTCAACGACTTCACGATTTTCTATTACACCAAGGATTCTTTAACAACCAATCTGATTACTTTTTATTCATCAAACACACGAATGAGTCTACTACCATTCTTCTAATCTATGTCGACGATATAATTATCACAGGATCCTCTCCTTCTGTTGTTTCCTCTATCATTGATGTAATATGCAACACTTTTGACAGTCGCCATCTTGGAAACTTACATTATTTCCTTAGCATTGAGGCTACTCGAAATTGTCACACTTTGCAGCTAAGACAAACTAGATATGCTTTGGATCTCTTGGAAAGATTCAACATGACTGGATGCAAACCGGCTACTACTCCTAGTGCTCCCACTTCTCGATTGTAGTTACATGCGGGAGAACTACTTCCAGATGCTACTGAGTATAGCAACATGGTTGGTGGCCTACAATATCTCACACTTATGAGACCATACATTGCATTTTCAATCAATCAAGTATGTCAATTCATGCACCAACCTCGTAACTTTCATCTACAGGCTGCTAAACGTATCCTAAGGTTCATTAAAGGCACACTATAGGAGGGTTTTTCATTCTACGTGTCAACATCTTTCCACATTCGAGCCTACTCTAACTCGGATTGGGCAAGAGATCCAAATGATTGTCGATCTACAACATGTATTTATATCTATGCTGTCCTAAATCTTGTATCTTGGACTGCCAAGAAACAACCAACTGTCTCACGATCAAGCAGTGAAGTTGAATATCGTGCACTTGCTACTACTACAGCGGAACTTAGATGGTTCTCTTGCTTGTTTCGTGAGTTGGATATCTTTCTTCATCCCCTCTCTCTTTTGTGACAGCATAGCCGCTCAAGTAATTTCACTTTGCTTGCCCATATATTTTTTTTCGAGTTAAATGCAAGAAATAACAACATGCTTTCAAGGGTAAATGCAAATGTATGTTAATCTATTTGTTTTATAATTATAGCATCTACATGGTACTTTCTTTTTTTTCTTGCTAATGCATTCTACTTTGAAGAATCTTCTACATAAGAAACTTTACTTGTTATCTTTGTTATATACTATT